GGGCTGTTCCTCCCAATCACGCCCATCCAGGTCTCTCTGTCGTTGCCCACATGAGCATTGAAGTCCCCCAGCAGGAGTACCCTCCAGCACACCCTCCAAGGACTCCAAAAAGGGTGGGTACACTGAACTGCTGTTGGGTGTGTACGCACAAACAACAGTCAGGACCCGTCCCCCAACCCAAAGGCGGAGGGAGGCAACCCTCTCATGTACCGGTGTGAACCCCAATGTACAGGCACTTAGCCGGGGGGCAATGAGTATGCCCACACCTGCTCTGCGCCTCTCACCGTGGGCAACTCCAGAGTGGAATAGAGTCCAACCCCCCTCGAGAGAACTGGTACCAGAACCCAGGCTGTGTGTGGAGGTAAGTCTCCAGCCTCTTCGGGCTGAGCCCGGCCGGGCCCCATGGGTGCAGGCCTGGCCACCAGGCGCTCGCCAACAAGCCCCACCTTCAGCCCTGGCTCCAGAGGGGGGCCCCGGTGACCCACATCCGGGCAAGGGAAACTGGGTCCCATTTATTTTGTTTGTCATAAGGGGTTTTGTGAGCCGTGCTTTGTCTGGTCCCTCACCTAGGACCTGTTTGCCATGGGTGACCCTGCCAGGGGCATAAAGCCCCAGCAACTTAGCTCCTAGGATCATTGGGACACACAAACCCCTCCACCACGGTAAGGTGACGGCTCATGGAGGGGACAAACAAAACATTCATTGCTTGAAAAACTCAATTAAATGTTGAACATAGAATGAGGATGATGAAGGGGATCATGAGGAAAAGAACCTACAACACACACAAACAGGCTGCAAAGCAGACCAGAAAGGTTGAGTTGGGTTGGATTCGTGAAGGTGAACAAGGAAAGGAAAGGCAGAGGTGGGGGAATGAGGACCCTTGATGTGTCCAGAGATTCCAAAAAAGCTGACATATTCCTTCCATATGGAAAAACAAGATTCAGAAGATGCCAAGCATTCATTCATGAAATGGAAGACTACCAGGAAGAAGAGGTAACTGATAACTATATCATAATTGGAGAACTTTACAATGTACTAAAAATGCTAAGAGGCTCATTGATGAAAATGACTCTTGCGGAAGTGTATCTTCCCATTAGGCAAAGCAGGGCGTTGCTCGGGGCGCTCTAGCCGGCAGGGCCCTCCCCCACAGAGGGCCAACAGGGTTTGGAACAAACATATCATTCAGCAGTGCCATGGTGCAATTACCATTGACTTGTCTCAAATTTCCTGAAGGGGCCCCGTGAGCCAAACTCGCCACTCCCTCACTCGTCCCTCCTCAGTTTCTCACGACCGCATCTTGTGTCAACAAATAATGACAAGATGAAGAGGAGGTATCCCTGTGGGGATGTGAAAAATTAAAGGATAATAAATGAGGAAGAAGAGAAAAGAAAACAAGGCAGTGATGAGTGTAAAATCTACATTTGTCGATGAGTGTTTGTTGTGTACTGCTTTTATATGTATCAAGCTACTCCACCATGAATCAGCCTTCCAAACCTCCAGAGCTATGACAATTTCAGAAACAGCTTATTTCTTGGAGACCCAAGAAATACAAATTTCTGTCCCTGAACAATTCTGGTTTGAACATGTCATCATCACATCTAAAACTACACACCAAGGGTAAGGAGTCTTAACGGGAACTGTGTACAGTTCAATCATGCAAGTATGATTGGCATCGCACCAAAACCTCCTATGTCACATTTTGGTATATTTCATTTTTTTCACAGAGCTATACTATTAGTCATTCCACATGTATGGGTGCTATTTTTTTTTTTATAAATCATTGACCAATATAACATGCTGAAAATGGCCTGCTCCCGTTAACTCTCTTTTGCCACTCGGTCAAGATACATTTAAGATTTATCCAAGGCAATGGCTGTAACATTTGTGATAGCACGCAATGTGGGTTTTTTTTTAAAGGCCTACTGCAGGGTACCCATGGGTAATGGTTAATGCAAAGGGCTGGCATACGTATATACAT